CCATCCCCCCTGGGGGGTGATTTCTCGCTTTCTGTCTCTATGTCTCTCTCTGTCTGTCCGGCGAGCGCCCGCGCCCTCCAGTGAAAATCTCTCAAAAAAAAAAAAAAAGCTTCTCATGTTTCTCCTGTATTGTGTTCATCTCAACTGTAAGTAATTATTGCTATAGTTAGTTGCTTAATGTCTTTCTTCCTCAAGTTGAATGAACTTATCCTGTGTTTTTGTCCCTTAATACATTTAATAAGCACTCCTCCATGTTGCTGCATTGCTTCATAATAATCATATTTAACTTCCACAAAACAGTCTGTCTGCCTTGTTCTTGCTGAATATCCTTAATAAACAATTAAAAACTATTTGTGGAATGAATGACTGAATAAATGAAAGTTCTTAAAGGGGATATCAGTAGCACTGTGTGGACATGATAAGCTGTGCCTAAAGTGAGTATGCCCATTGTCCAGGGTATGAATCAAAAGGCAAAGGTCAAGGAGTAAGCCATACCTTACAATGGGCTGCAAGGCAGTTTGAAGGCTGACCTTCATGTCCAGAGGGTAGGCACATTCAAAGTTAATCTTGAGGATCATGTCTCTAATGATGAAATCGTTGACCAAGGAGATGGTGTTTTTGTAGAAGGCATGGGTTTGATTTCTCTTTGGCATAAAAACAAAATCGCATATATGTACATTTACATATACATGCATGTAGGAATGTCTCAAAATCAACTCTGATTTCAGAGTCAATGTTCTCAGCTACACACCATCCTGACTTCTGATCTCAAGGAGTTAGTATGGCTCCTCCTCCACTGACTCTGACATTTTACAGGAAGAGAATGGTAAGACCAAACACTAGAATAAATTATTAACCTTTGATAAGAGTTAGAAACTGACTCTCTGCATCCCTCCCACAACAGCCCTAATTAAAATAATCACAATTGGGACCAAAAGATGGCGTAATGATTACATTGCTAGGCTCCCATGTAGTGGACAGCAATTTGAGTCCTGGACCAGGTAGGTGGCTTACAACTTGCCAGGTGCATGTGCGTGCATGCCCCAGATCCCGAGAGGAGAATGGAAGAGAAGGGATTGTGGCATGGCCATTCACCCAGGGGAGTGATTTATCACTTTCTGTCTCTCTGTCTCTCCAGCGAGTGCACACGTCCAAAACTCTCTAAAATAATAATAATAATAATAATAATAATAATAATAATAATTGTAGCTTACATTCATTAAGTTCAAGCGTCAGACCTGTTCTGAGCTCCTATGTGGAATGCCATGTATAATCAAGCTCACATAACTCTCAAGTCCCAGAGAGGCTAAGTGACTTGCCCAGGAACTCACAGCTGCTTGTCCCCATTGGCCCAGGTCCTGCCCTCTGGTGGCAGCTGTGTGAATGCCACTTACCTCCAGAATGTTCCCGCAGGCACTAGCCTGCACAGGACTAGAGAGGGACAGCCAGTTCCTTTCCTCTGTTTGTATGATGCTGCTGCAATTCCGATCCTGCAGATAGGCACTGACCTCCTCCTTAAAACCCTGGGCTTGTAGCAGACACTTATCCAACTTCACCTTGATCTCCTTGGCCCCACAGTCCAGCTGAGGCTGCAAACTGTGGACTTCTGGAAAGCAAGAGAGGGACAGATGAAGTAGACAGAGGTCTGAAAACAGTGTGCAGAGCCCATATTCCCCGCCCTTTGGCAAACCTCCATGCCTACCGGGGGCTGGATAAACTAGAAGGGTCCTGGGACCCAGGTGGAACTCACGCCAAGGATAATGGTAGGAAAAATTGGCAAAGAGACTCCTGGTTCAAGATTTCCAAGTTCCTGTGTGCAGACTTGACTGAAGTGTTTTTCTCAAGTTCTCCAGGGAGATTGGAATCTTTGGAAAGCAGGGTGGTCCTGCATTCCAGACTAGAACCATAGATAGCTATGCATGACTCTGTGAAGCTAGTACCACTTTGCCCACATTGCAGCCCAGTTTTCCGAACTGTCATGCTTCTTGCCTCTCTCTAGAACACTCTTTTATTGGGTCTGACAGTGGGTTCAAAGACAGGCTTATTTGTGCCAAGGGCAAGAGTCAAGGGCCCTCATTAGAGTCCTACAATGGAGGAAAATAATCTCAGTGGAAGGCTCACCTAAGCCCCACCCCGGTATTAGGGCTCCTCTATGACATTCCAACTCGTGGGCTATCTGACTCTGCTTGCTCATCTCCTGGGACAAGAAGTTTATCACCTCCCGAGTCTGTCCAGTTGGACTGCTCTGATGTAATTCCCACATAGTATATGGCAGGTCTTTTTATGCTTGTCTTACCTTCATTTTACAAATGAGAACATTAAGACTCAGAAGGGGAAGCTAATTTGTCCCAAGAGTCAGCCCATGTCCCTTACAGGAAGCTGTAGAATGCAGCTTTGACAACTGCCGTGTTCTCATCTTCAGCACCTTTGTCCCTCATGGGCAGAGTCTACATATGCCAAACCATTTCCCATGCCCTGGTCCAGGGTTGTTCCAACGCTGGCATCCCACATCCTTGAAAACCCTCTGGCTTTGTAGTAAGCAGACTGGAGAACCCACATTCCCTGAACCTGAGTTTCACACTCCCTCCTTCTGGTCCACATGTTGTCCTGAACCTACAAAGCCCCTGTCCTCCTCCCTTCTCCGCCCACTCAGGATCACAGCCATCAGCCCAGTGAGTGGCTCACCAGAGCTGTTGAGGTTCTGTCTGCAGAAACAGTCCGTGACGCCATCAAGAGTGAGGCACTCCTCCTCAGGACGGCAGGTTTTCTCACACTTGTTATCCTTAGTAGCGGGGTCTAGAGGATGGGGTATGGAGGAAGGGGATCTCAATGCAGGGCAGGGTGGGACCTGAAACCCCCATCCCAACCCCCCCCATTACACCAGGGCACAGGGGTCTTGCCAAGGTTATGCAAAACTTGATAGAAAGATCAAGGCTTGAACCCTGATTTCCTGATTCCCAATCCAATGGAGTGAGTCCCGCCAAGTACTATCTGAACACTTACTACAGGCCAGTATTCTAAGTACTTGCCACATGGTAGCTCATTCAAGCCTCATGTAAACAATGTAAGACAAGGCAGCACAGTGGTTAAGCATGTGGAGGCTGGTGCTTCAATGCCTGGCTTCAAATCCCCTCTCTACCTCATTCCAGCTATGTAATACTGGGAGAGCTACCTAACTTCTCTATGCCCCAGACTCCTCATCGGGGTGATTATATAGGACCTCTCCTGTGGAGTTGGTGGGAGAATCAAATGAGTTAATACATTTAAAGTGTTCAGGATAGTAGCAGGTGCAGTGTGAGAACTATGTGTTGGCTGTGTTATTTTGATATTATCCAGTTTTTCAGATCAGAAAACTGAGGCACAGAGAGGCAAATTAAACCACCCAATAGAACCAAAATCTGAACAAGCCTGAATTCTTGATATTATACTAGATGCATTTGTAGATTGGAAAATATCACCCTCAAATCAAAATTTCTGGCTTTACTTAAATGCTGGAAGGCCTGGTACCCCTCAGGCTGTATTCCCACGGGGTGACAACCAGCAGGAGCTGAGTGGAGGTTGTTCTACAGGCTCCTCCTGACCCATCCACTCACTGTACCAGGCCCTGGGTGCCTCACTGTTCACCCAGCCCCAATTGCAGCTGGCTCTGGAGTCTCCACGCCTCACCTGTGCAGTATCTCAGATCACATTCTGGGGTGCCCTGAAACCGGTACACGTGGTACCCGCCCGGACAGGCCTTCACCAGCACCTCTGTCTTCCAGAGACAGCAGTTCTCACTCCAGTGGGCACAGGAAGTGAGGCTGACGATGCCATCCCCAAGGGCAGGGTGGGTCCCATTCAACCACATGGGAGCGGCTGCCTGGCATCGATACATTGGAACACAGGTCTCCGGCATCCTCACTCCTCCTTCACCAACAAAGCGGTACCAGCCATGCATGTCCCGGTCACACTGCTGGATGAATTCTGTGTTTTCTGAGCTTCGGAAGGGTTCGTTCAAGCTGGTGTAATTCTGGCAGGGATCAATACAGAGGTCTGCCTCTGGGGTGCCAGGGGCTCCGCAATCCAAGTCCAGCACATAGGAACTGGCTTCAGCGGGGTTTCCATAACCTAGGAGAGCAACAAAGCGTGCTTGGGTTTACTGAGCAGTCCCAGAGCCTGCACGACCGCTATCCACTACACTCTCATTGGACGAGCTAAGGACCTGATCCGGACAGCAGACACACAAACTAATTCCACAAAAAATCATCAGTGAGAGCTTCATGTAGTATTTTATAGCCATTAAGAACACTGCATAACTTCAAGGGACATCGTTCACTCTGAGTTTGTGAATGCCCATCCCCTATTTATGCAGGACCATACATAGCAGCTCTGTGTGGCTGGTTTATTTTTCTCATTATAAATGTAGGACAGGCCCATTGGAAAACACCTCAGGTGTTATTAAAATCTCTAATATAAAGATGAAAACTGCCATAAGCACTTCCTATCCCTAGAAAGCATGCTAAATTTATTGTATAGGTTTTCAATTTTTCCTATGCCTTTATTTAAAGTATAAATTATTTGGGCCAGCAGGTTGCATGGTTGTTAAGGCACTGGACAGTCCCACATGACCGACCATAATTCAAGTCCAGACCTAGTGGCTTGCTTTCTCACTTTCTTTCTCTCCATGTGACTGTCTTTCACTGGTCAAATGAAAATAATTGAATGAATAAATAAAATTAAATAATTCTTTTTAAAAATATGTTATTTTTAAAAATTAAAATACAAGCCAGCAGGTAGCATAGAGATTAAGGCACTGGATCCCACATGACCAAATGCACAGTTCAAGTCCCAGACCCAGTGACTTGAACATCAAGCCAGGTACATATGTGTGTGTGTGTGTGTGTGTGCCAAAAATCCTGAGAGGAGACTGGAGGGATAGAAAGCAAGAAATCGCCCCCTGGGGGTGATGGTCACACCGCAATCCCTTCTCCTCCATTCTGCTCCTGGGATCTTGGGCACGCACGCACATGTGTCTGGCATGAGTTTAAGCCACCAGGTCCGGGACTCGAACCGCAGTCGACTACGTGGGAGTTCAGTGACATAGTCATTATGCTAACTGCTGGTCCCTTTATATGCATTTTTAACTTAATATATCATAGATATCTTCCCATATTAGTAGGCACTGACTAACCCAAGATTTCTCAGTCTCGGCATGATGAGCATATTCTTTGTTGTGAGGACTGACCTGCATATCATAGATGTTTAGCAGAATCCGTGCTAAATAGTCCCTGGGAGACAAAAATCACCTCCAACTGAGAACCACTGATTTATCAGGGCCGTTTCCCATTGCTGGCCTTCCATTTTTTGTTGTTTTGCTTATTATTTTAAATAGGTTCAGGGACCGTGATATATAAAGAGGCAAAGAGGTGAAGGAAGAAAAGCACATGCTGGTCAGACTGACTTTAAATTCAGCTCCACACCTGCTGGCTGGGTGACCTCGGCAGGAGATTGAACTCTCTGAGATGCATCTGCAAAACCACACATGCAAAGTAGTGGTCTCCAAAATGCATTCCCATGCCTTGGGCTATGATGTTTCCACACTTGTATCTGCTTATCCTATCAATACTTGAAATATTTCTGTTTCTGTTTTGAAAGTTTATTCATTCGTTTTTCCCATACAAGGCATTCCCTGTCCCAAACAGGATCTTCATGCTGCAATCCACCTGCAGCCTCAGCCAGCCATGATCACAGACACTTGCATGTGCCCAGTATGTAGAAGGGGACCTTGGAATGTGAATCTGGGCTCTTCCCATGTGGCAACAGAATAGCAAAGTGTGTTACTGCTGTGCCACTGGCTGACCCTTTAAAATATTTGGTTCACTCATTCTCTTTAGAAGTTTCATCTGGGGCCAGCTGGTGGCATGGCAGTTAGGGTGGCTGGATACCACATGGCCGACAGCATGGTTCAGATTCCAGCCTGGTAGCTAGAGAGACACACTGGGTATATGTGCATGCATGTCCAAAGTCCCAAGAGAATAAAGGAGAGGGGATTTTGTGGCCATTCCTCATGAGAGGTGCTTTCTCACTCCCTCTTTCTGTTTCTCTCCAGAGAGTGTATGCAACTATGCAACCTGTAGCCAATTTTTTTTTTTTAACAAAAAGTTTCTTCTCAGCCAGTCTTGTAGTCTTGTAGTCTTGTAGCACAGTGATTAAGTACTACACAGAGGAAGACAAATCCCACATGACCAACTAGGGTTTGATTCCCAGTATTGGTAGCTTGAAAAATTAGGCTGGACACACGTGTGCATGCCCTTGAGTGGTGGAAGAAAGGCCTCACTCGGAGAGGGATGCATCCTCTCTTTCTCTTTCATGTGTGCACATGTACTTTCTGGTATAAAAAGTGGCAAAAAATCTTTTCACTTAAAGGAATAATAACTGTGATAACGTAGGCATGGTGTACTAGTTACATTTTTAAAAAACTAGTCACATTGTAAAAATACACATGAAAATAAATATATGGCCATACATATCCTAAACCTCAGAGTCCCTTTTAAAAATCCATTTCCCATCAGTGGCCATGAACCCAGTTCCTCCCTATCCTCCTCTCTAGGGATGAAACTTACACTCTAGCCTTGGGCCTGAGAACACTTTGACAAGTATTTAAGTTGCCCAATTCACCGATTTTTGGAAGACACCAGAGATCTCTACATCTAGCCCTTTCATTTTTATAGTTGAGCAAACTGATATATGAAGGGTCTTCAAAAAGTCTGTGAAAAAAAATAGCATTAAAGTATGTGTTTATTTGGGTGCAAAAATATTTGAAAAAAAAATCCATGCAGTTTGTTCACAATATGCTTTTTCTATAAACTTTTTGAAGACTCTTGACAGAGGAAGTAGAAGGCGCTTGCTGCAACAAAGTTACTGGGTGATTTACTTCCTCTTCTCCAATCCAGGCTCCCTGATCTCCCCCCGAGATATGGGCATGGAAGTTATGCTAACTGGCCTCTACTGTCCTTTCAGGGGGATTTCCAGTTTGGCTCTTGGAGAGACTGTGACTAGATCTCCATTTCTCTCATCATATTCCCCTTAACTTCTAGCTCTGAGTCTTTGTTTTAGAACTGCTCATTCTTCCCATCGACCTGACCTAACTTCACTGCATTTCCTCAGTTACTTCCCAGATCTCGCTGGGCATCTGAGATGCGAAGCGAGCAGAGCACTCACCTTGCTGTACCGTATGTGCCAGGGTCAGAATGCAGGAGGCCAATGCCACCCACATGAAGTTGGAGCACACTATCCTTTCCATTAGGCAAAGCACACAGCTCACTCTGCAGCACGCAGATTCTCCATGCAGCTGTGGTAAGGAAAGACCGGGTAAGATCAGGGTGACAGAATTTGTTACCTTTGGGTGAAAGGGTGAGATGAGAACTCACATCTCTGCAGCACCTGCTATAATGACACAACTTGTACGTACATAACTTATCTCAACTTGCTCTTACACACCTTATCTCATGTAAATCTCTAAGCCACCCTACAAATATTGTCCCCATTTATAGACAAAAAAAGTGGAAACTCAGGGTATGTTCATCTAAATTATATTTACTAAGACCCTCCTAGAAGTTAAAAAGATTTCTTACAGCCATAGTTCATGTTCTCAGAAACAGAAGCATTGGCTCCTTCTTAAAGAGATGTATTGTTTCTAAGAAGGTGTGACTCATGGGGTAGGAGACTTGCCAAGGGGATGAAGTTGATGGCAAGCAAACTGAAGCAAGCTTAGAGCCAGCCAGTACTGCAGATTTCCTAGAAGGGTCTCAGGGTTGTCCCTACTCGTGCAGAGTTACAGGCTCTGAGGAGAGTGTTAGGAGGGAGAATGTTATAGTGCCTGTGAATATCTGCAGACAACAGGAATAGCTGCCTTTCTTAGTATTATGCATCAGTCACTGCTAAGAGCTCCCAATGTGTCCTCTACACAGGTAGATTTTTATAAGGGTAGAGCCGTATCAGGTTGAGCCCCATGTCCCTTGCTGCTAGCACAGAATCTGCTATGCAAGGTGTGCTCCATAAGGGTTTAAGGAATACATGAATAAATTAATTGGAAGGGTGAATAGGGAGAAAAAGCTATGAAAAGCCTGCCAACACTCAAATGCCATTTACTCTTCTTGAAAACTCTTTCTTTGAATGGGTGCATCTTTGGATGACTTCTCACAGGCTCTGAAAGGCTCCAATTGAAGATAGAGATCTGTTTCTGGAAGGGCTATCATAAAAATGGCATGAAATAACAGGAACGGGGGAGTACCCAGGACAGGTAATTCTCAGAGATGAGATTCCAGGTTGAGACCCATCTTCCTGGTAGGGATGTCCAGGCAAGGGTGAGGGTAATATCAGTAGGTTTGGAACGGCCAGCACGTGGCTGGAACATTGGTTAAGAGGGACACAAAGTGATATATGGAGCATTTGATAATGACCAAAGTCCAGGCTCCTTGCTGGATCCCAAAAGTTTTCGGAACAAAGAACCTAGCAAGTCCAGTGGGTCAAGTGAGGAAAATCTCTAGGATTAGAAGAAAGCCAGTTGGGGTTTGGAGAAAGACTTACCTTGGGGCGGGAGCACAGAGCATTCCTCCTCTGACCAGCCGTGGGAATGCAACCTGCTGTGGGCCGTCTTTTTATGGCAACCTCCCACCTATGTGGCTGTCCACCATTGGTGCTGAGTTATGACTGAAGATAATCTCTCAGGCATACACTGGGTTTGCAATTTACGCAAAGGATGGTGAAAGAGGAGCCTTGGCCTCCCCACCCCACAATGTAAACACTTTCAGTAGTCTCACCTTCCTGCAAATACTTCTTTATAAACAATAGCAATATATATGCCATGCTGAATACACTGACACTGCTTAGGACTTCTCACATCTATTCCTCACAATACACCAGTGCCATATTTATTACCCAAATCAAACACTAATCAAATGGAAGCTTAAACCAAAGGGAAGTGGAGAGAAATCAAACAGGCACTTGTTTGCACAATGGATTTCCAATTGTACCTTGTGTTCCTAGCTAATAGCCTTGGAATAATTTTGCTTCTGTCTGTAGGCCACACAGTTTGGGGCTAGCTAGAACAAGGAACTAAAAAAGAAAGGGGAAGCAGTGTCTGTGTTTCCCATTCTTAGTCTGCAGGATCTATCCAACTTTAGATGTTTATTGCTGAAGATTTGGAAAATGGTCAATTTGGTGATGGTGAATCACAGGATGGCAAAGGACTTATCAGTCCCTTAGACAAAATAAACATCAGAACAGCCTCTCCTCGGATCCCTTCTGATATGAGGGCTACCCTTGAGATTGAAAGGTGTGGAACTGAGAGGAGGCTGTAGAAAATGTTGGACTGTTAAACTCTGGGATTGGACCTGGCTTTCATAGCATGGTAGAAATCATGAAGTTAATAAAAGAGTCAAAGCTTTTGCAGAAGAAATGTCCACTGCCTCTTTTCTGTTACTCTGGAACTCTAAGAAGCCAAGGCTACTAGATACAGGGAGCACCGGGGTCTTGGCATTGGTAACACCTTCTAGCACAACTTGAACCCAGACAAAGAAGACATGGTACAAGCTACTTTCTCTATGCCTACTGCAGTTGGAGCAAAGTCCTCCAAAATGTGGAATTTATAAAACGAGGCCCACAACAGAATCCACCAGGCAGTGTGGCCAGATACTCATTTCGGTGGTCCCAATAGCCATTGTTGACCTTCTCTGTCATCTTACATGGTCTCTAGGACTATCATTACCCACTCACACTACCATTCTCAGTTAATGTCTTGCTTCCTGCTTCAATAAAATTTAGTCCTCAATGCCTAACCTCACTCATTCTCCCATTAACATATATTTTCCTCCATCCTCCACTCTTCCCTTCCCAACTTCTGATGAGGAAACCACCCTCCTTTTAAAAGGCAGTTCCTCCAGCCCTCTCTGGCCTCACTATTCCAATCTGGACAATGTGGCTAAGACTTCCCTACAAAGGTCTTCTCAGAGCCAACTCCACTGGGCACTTTTTTATGTCCCCTTGTCACTGGATTTATTTGCTGCTTTTTCTTGCATGTCTTTGACTCTCCTGTAACAAAACTTGTTTAACTCTTCTGCAACTTTCTGGATATAACTACACTATTGTTTGCCATCCCATGATTCACCATCACCAAATTGACCATTTTCTAAATCTTCAGCAATAAATATCTAAAGTTGGACAGATCCTGCAGACTAAGAATGGGAAACACAGACACTGTTATATCTTCCTCCAGCTAGCCCTAAGAATACTGGTAGGCCTCATTTTTCTTGTCATTCCATATATTCCCCAAGGGAGGTATCAAACTATCTCATGATTTCAAGAACCATCCACAGGCTGGTGGATACAGTTCTGTATCCAAATCTGAACTTCAGGTGCATCTACCTTATTGCCTTCTGGATTTCTCTTCTTGGGCTGAGATTGTTGAGGCACCACAAAATCAGCAGATCCAAACCTGAACCCAATTCCCCTAAATATTCTCCCCCTCATTGGATCAACTACCTTAATCAAATGCACCAAGCTCGAAAACTGGCTCTTTTTTGTTATTGTTTATTTATTTCCAGAAGGAGGGCACCCTCGACAGGGTCTTCACACCACGATCCTCCCTCCAATCTGCAGCCAGCCAGGATCCCAGGTGCATCCAGCCAGCTGTGGTCGACCTGGGACGTGAACCTAGAGTCTTCCCAGAGGGCCTCATCATGGCCTACTGCCCACACTGTTTCTGTTAAGCCCGGTTCCTTCCTTTCTCCCTCAGTTCTCATTTCTAAAACTCACCAAGAACTGGCTTTCAGTATTTCAAATATTTCTTAAATCTATCTTTCATTTTTCCATCCTCACTTCACCAATGTGAATTCAGGACACTGTCTCTCATTAGAGTGACTTTAACAGCTTCTTCTTTGGTATCCCTTTGTTTCCGTTCTCTTCTCTGCAGCCAAAGGCCATGTGCCATCTCTCAACATTATTCTCCATTCCCAGCACTCTACACTTCCTGGGGCCGGAACCCTATTCACAGCTCCCACCTCCCACAACTTCCCCATCACACATCCATCACACATTCTCCACTAAAGCCAACATGTGGTGCTCTTCTGAATTCTCTACTTCTAAACCTTTGCGTATACTGTTCCCTCTGCCTGGATGACTGTATGGCTAGGGTCTTTCTACTTACTATTGCCTCTCCCACGGAATCTTCCTTAACTCCACAGAAAGGCTGGTGCTTTCCTCTTCGCCTACCCTCTTGAGGCTGATTCCAATCATACTCAATTACCTGCTAACTTATCCGTCTCCCTCTGAAGACTGTAAGATCTTCGTGGAAAGGGAACCTTTCTCTGCAATTCTAACCAGTGCCAAGTAAGTACTTGTTGAGTAAACCAGTGGACAAAATCAAAGTGTGCAGGTTCCAAACCCCCTCCAGCAAGTAATGCCTCAAATTTATGACTGTCCAAGTGTTAGTCAATGTGCATGGGAAGACACAAGGTCTTGTGTCAGGGCCTTTGCACTTGCTATTATGACCATGTGTACTGTGGTTCTTCAGATATCCCCCCGGTCACTGCTTTATTTCTCTCAGCCTCTACTTAGAGACCTTTCCTGATAATCCTATACAGAATAACACTCCCATTGTTTTCCCTCCTTTTCTTTTCCTTGTTCTCCAGAGTCCTGGTCACCCTCTCACACTTCACATAGTTCTTTAAGTGTATCCCCCTTTTAACTGTAAGCTTTTTACCAGCAAGGGCTCTTTTTTGAGTACTTACTATTTCTTTGGTACCTATGAAAGTGCCTGGCATTGAATCTATACTCAAAATATCTGTTGAATATATATATATATATATATATATA